GTAATTAAAAGCAAGTATATCAGAGTTTTAGGAAGTTAATAAATCAGTATTTTCAAATTATTAGTGCACATCCTTTTGTCCACATACCTATTTCCATCTCTCTTCTCCTCCTGACTCTCCTCCTTCTTTTCCGGCCACCCAGAGCCTTTGAGAAGTTGACAGGACACCAGTACGAAGACTACTCCTTCAACGTGTCATATATCATGGACATGGATGCTGCTCCACCCGTCCAGGCTCCCCGTACGCGGCGCGGGGGTCGGTCTTCCCGGGACCAGGGCGCCTGTCAGCCCGGGCCGTCAGGAGGCTTCGGTTCTCCGCGCCCCAGACAATACGACTTCCCCCTACGTATCCTCGTGCCTACTCAGTTCGTGGGAGCCATCATCGGCAAGGAAGGCCTCACCATCAAGAATGTCACCAAACAGACGCAGTCCAAGTGAGTTACACCACCTGGCTTCAATCTTTTTTCTTTTTTTTCACCGTACCCTCAGCTTAGATCTAAGGCAAGAGGGTGCAAGATGATTGAAGCTTTAAGTGGCCTAATTAATTAATCAGAAGGTGGTTGCCTGTTTACTGATGCCTTGTAAGTTTTGTTATGATGAACCCTCTGAACATTTTTTGGACGTTTTTTGCTCCCATCCTATTTTTACTCACCGCAATATAAAGTCCTGCACTTCAATGGAAACAGCACAGCCACGTCTAGAAGTGGGTAGAACTAAAAAATGCCCTTTGTGCAGGATGACACAGTTATAAATCATAAAAAATAAATAAATAAAAGTGGAGTTTCTTTGATTATTTATTTACAAAAGATGGGGAAAAAAATGAAATCAACATGTACAACATTTTTTAAATACCCACAGATGCTACCAATACTGGAAAATAACTGCAACTCTGTAGATATTTGACTATTTACGTTTTTTCTTTGTGTCTGCAGTCTGCAGTTCAGCTGACAAACCCGTACACTTTTATCACACACTGAGTCTGTCGTGGCTTTTCTGTTGTGCCCTGCAGCACATAATTCTCTCCCCTTTAAAAAAAATAATGCAATTGGTTTATTTTCGGCAAATTTTTAAATATCACAGTTTTAGGCTTAGATCTCCCGACATTACGCTATAATTACTTCAAGAACCATTTCCAGTTGAAAATCTGATGTTCCTTTCTGTTTTTACAGTTATAAATAGTAGAATTCTGGCAATTTTTACAAGACAACATGCGTTTAAAACTCGCTGGTGGGTTAAATTGTTCCTCCTCTTTTGACAATTTTCTAATTTGTTTGTCCTTTCAGTAACTTGATGGTTTCTTTTCTTTGTGTTTCCTTTAGTTTGCATGGCACTTTTTGACAAACTACACTCTTATTTAATTTCAATCTCCGTGTCCGTCTCTCCCCTCTCCAGGGTGGACATTCATCGTAAGGAAAATGCAGGTGCAGCAGAAAAACCCATCACCATCCACTCAACACCCGAGGGCTGCTCCTCCGCCTGTCGCATGATCCTGGAAATCATGCACAAGGAGGCCAACGAGACCAAGACGTGAGTCCGCGCACTTCCCGCAAAACTTCCCGGAACATCTCGCATGTGCTGGCGGAGGTGGGGGGTGGGGGGGGTGCATGTATACAATCCCACAGAGAGATTAGCCATAACGTCTGCAGGGCTATAATCTTATCCTTTAACCTGCCTGCACACCTTTTAATCTCACTGTGCATTCTCTCGCTTGGACCACTAACACAGTAAACAAGGTGCGCACGACGCACTCGCAATAGGCTGACACGTGATCACAGCTTAGCATGCAGGAAACGAGGCCAACGCGTCTAATCGAGTTTGACACTTTTAACGAGACACTTCACCTTTTAAACTCGCGGGCGTCTGCTCGATTCCGACGTCAACCTTCGATACCTAATATTAGTGTTTGTGTTCGTTTGCAAGTGCGTAGGGAGCATCTTTCCTTTAGTCTCCATCTTCAATTCAAGATAATTTGAATATAAAACTGAAGCACAGTCTTTCAATTTCCCCCCCAAAGATGAGACATCATAGAAAACACAACAGCTACTTTTATTTTTGCTGAAGGTTGCTTATTTTGTCTTTTGATGGTGCACCAGTGTGCGCATTCACAGGCCTCTGACTCGACTAGACAATATTTCCACCTGTTTGTAGAGTATAATAAATAATAATAATGACATACATGCATTTGAAAAACGACTCTAAATACATTTCTTTGCCGTGATCACATCATACTTCCCGTGAGCATCTTCACATTTTCAGACATTATGGCAACATGAGCACATTAACGGCAGGGTTCACACAGCGACAGAGGACTTTTTCATTTATTATTCTGGGCAAAATACTTAAAGACTGCATAAAGGTGAAGAAATGCAAGGGATAGAAACGGCTGTGAAACTCACAAATGAATCATTTTATTTGTATGATCAGACAAAGTGTAAAAACTGCAGCATAATATTTAATGCGCTGACTTGAGAGTGGCATCAGTCTGTTCATTAATCTCGAGGCCAGAAAGCAAGAAACTGCGTTTTATGAAAATGGGCAAATCTAGAGTGAAAGACTTTGAGCTCTAATTTCTTATCAAGTTTGAATGCAGTTGCTGCAATTTGCTTTAACCCGCTGATTCTCTGAGAGACACGTTTCCTTACAATTCTCAAGAAGACACCATTTATCTGAGCAAGAACCTGTAAAAACAGAGAGAATCAGTGGATTTTCAACCTTCTTGAACGACTCTGTGATGTGGGAAACTTTTATTCTGCATGGTGCATTTAAAAATTTGTCAAAATTAAAATGTTTGCACAAACCAGAGTCTGTAAAAAAACCCCAACAAAATAAATATTGGATCCACAACGCAACCGTGAAGCCATTTGTGACTTAGCTGTGACCAATAGTCGTGTGTTTTCTGCTGAACTGCAGCCTGTGTTTCCACAGAGCAGTTTAAAAATGTGAGAAGTAAAATATCCATAGTAGGGACTGGTAATACTGGTTACACACTTCAGAAGTGTTGCACATGTTGATTCCAGGTTTTTCTTTTTTTGTGTGTGTGTAAAACATAGAAAGAAATTCAACTTACTTTTTTTTTTTTTTAATGATTTATGGCACCATAACTTTGAAAAATTAGCCTACAGAGAGTAAAACATGAGACAAGCAAAACACGCAGAGAAACTGTTTCTGCTGAATGAATGAGTATAAGGCCACGTTTACACATAGCTGGTATTCACAAAAATGGATCTACATTTTCCAAAATAACACTGTTAACACCAAATTGTTTAAAAAAAAATCTTCGTGTACAAAAACCTGCATAAACACGTTGCTAAGAGCTGCTATGAGCTGCCAGACCTGTAGGGGGCAGTGTAACGAGAGGCATAAAGCCGATCAGAATCCTGGAAAAACACAAAACTTCCTGTTTCTTCAACGATAATGGCACGAGGGTCGTTTGTTTGGACCGACAGAGAAATGGAGCTACTCGTGCATGTGGTGTTAGAGGACAAAACAAGGAAAATACTTGAAAATACTTGACTTTCTATCGCTTTTGCCGCACACTGTGACGTCAGACTCCGTCTCCTCCTGTTGACATGTAAAGAGGGAGTTTTTCCAAATCTCCACTGTGGCCGGAGTTTTTAGATGTGATCGTTGTTCGTTGTAACTTGTAGCTTTGTTTACATGTAAACCAAAGGCCCACTGAAATATCACCGTTTTTGCTAAACGGGGCCTCATTTAGCAACAAAAAAAATCAGGCAGCTGCTCTGATTCAGCCTCACCCCAGCCAGGGAAGGCCGACCACCACCTTCTCTGAACCTTTTTCTGCAGGAGGTTTCCCCCACTTATTCTTCCCACTGTCACCAAAGAGCTGCACTGGTTGGGTTTTTCTGTATTATGTAATGTTGTACAGTCACGGCCTTACATCTGAACTGCTCTGAGATGTGACATAAATAAAAGTCTAATTGAATGAATTCACCTGCTTTAAAAACTAATTCCTAATGCTCATATCAAAAGTCACAACACCGTCCACAGATGCACCGACTAAACAACCCCACCCTGCCCTTCCTGGGCGCCACACCTGCAGAAATCAACCTGTCGCCTGGGCCGCCCCACACCCTGTAATTTCACCTAGTCCACATCCACTGAAACCCAAACCTCTAAACTTGGCGTCTAAACCTGCACCGCTGTCATCTCCCCTTACTTGCCCCACAGCTCACCCCAAACTAATTTCACCCTACACCACACATCTCCTTCTGCCCTGACGTGCTGCCCCCTCCCCTCCCTTCCCCTCCCCGACACACACACCCACTCCCACACACCACCGAGTCTGTGACCCCACCCAAAAGGAAACCCCCGGCATCTGGCTCCCCTCCACCACACCCCACCACCACTTTAATCCACGTTTACACCCTGCAATTGTCCCACAAAGCAGAAATATAGATTATACATAAATGATACTCCTCCTGGTAACTAACTACCCCTTACTGTACCAGCTACACACATCGGCTACACGCAGCTAGCTCGCATAGTTGTATAAAAGCAGAGAAATTAACTGCATTCTTCAGCAGCGAGCGGATGATTAAATAAAGCTTTTGTGCACTTCTACATGTATGTTTTCAAAATACGGTAAAAAAAATAGAAACAGCACTCATTATCAAATCTACACTCCGTAAATGTCAACAATAAAAGCGGCATAAATGAGTTATTACTGCTTAAATTGTTAATTTTTTTCCTCCTCGTTCTCAAGTCAAAATATCAGAATCGAGCATCCAAATGTTTTATCCGTCTGTACCATGAATATTTCATGGTTTCACAAAGCCATGGAAAATTAACTCATCATAATTTGTACTGTACAAAAGAAAATGGGACTCACTTTCCATTTCGCCCAAATTGCGCCGCTTACACAATCTGTTTTCCTCCCGAGTGTTTTTAACATCAACAGCCAGAGGAGGAAATCAGAGCTCTGGCTTCTGCATGAGCAGGATGTTACGTATGATCCGGGGCCCTTATACGCATTTATATCCTGACTTCAGCAAAAGAGATTATGATTTGAAATGTTACTCTTTATTCTTGAACACGCTTTTACATATAATTACTTTCTATTGACTTGGTTCTTCCTGGAAAAAGTCCTCAAAAAGCTGTAGAACATTGTGAGCAATTAAAGAATCCAGCAGTTTGTCACTTTTTGTTTTGATGGATGCAAAAAAAATGTTTGGCATGAAGTCAGGAGGAAGTTGTTTTTGATTTCACACGTAAAGCATTTTCTGAGCTCTTGTTTATTGTAAACTTGGAGTGATTAGTGGCAAAAAAACAACTTTTGCTCATATAGGAGGGAAAAATCTGCATCGAAACAGGATCTGCTTCTTCTAAAAAGCATCCTTATTGGTTTTGTAAGAATCTGTAAAAACAAAAAAAGATTAATTGTATGCTGTGTTGTCACTAACATAAGGGATTGTGTCTTTACCCTCTGACTTTAAGCAGTTTCTGGTTGTTGTTTTGCTCATGTCACATTTTTACTCGCTGTTGGCTCTTTTTTTCACTGCACTATACATTAGAGAGGATTTTAAAAAAGTGAAATTAAAGACTTCATTTGCAAAAACAGATAACGCCATCTTCACAAACCTTCAGAAAACTAACTTTTCCATCGTCTACCTGAGACAACATCAATCAAACTTAAGTTATCTCTATTTTTGTCATTTCTACTGAGTCAAATCCACTCTACTTCAGTTTGATTGATTTTATCTCAAGAAAACAAACAAAAAAACAAGTTTTCTGAAAATCGACAAAAATGGAGTTTTCTGTTTTTGCGAATTAACTCTTTAATTTCTTTGTTTGTTTTCAAAAATTTTAACAACCTGGAATCAACATGTCTGCATTTGTACACGTGTCCACAGATGTTATTAATAATAGAAAACATGACGGCTCTACATACTAGAGATACTTCACTGTTTACTGTCCATCCTTGTCTCCGACCCACTAAACACAACCTGCAGTTCAACAGAAAAGCATTTTGACAGCAACTTATGTCCGAGTCAGTCACAGCTTCTCAGTTGCCCTGATGAGCAAATTTTTTTTGTTTTTTATGTAATCTGATGAGAGCAAATGTTATATTTTTCATAACTTTTTAAATGAAATGTGTAGGAAAAAGTCATTTTAAGAAAAATATTAATTTTGTCGTAGCTCTGATAAATGATACATTTTGTCAAAGTTGACTTGATAACGTGAAACTTATCCTCTATCATCTCGACTAACTCGTTTGTGCGTTTCTATGCAGGACGGAAGACATCCCTCTGAAAATCCTTGCCAGCAACAACCTGATTGGTCGGCTGATCGGCAAAGACGGCCGCAACCTGAAAAAGATCGAGGAGGAGACAGGGACCAAGATAACTATCTCCTCGTAAGTCTGCGCTGCTTTTTTTTTTTTCCCACTAACTGCTCATCATTGTGAAAACGGCGGCAATTACGCTCCAGATGATTTGAAGGACAAAAAGATTTCTGACTATTACTAATTTAACAAATGAACAAATAACAGACAGTAATTCCAGCGTCGTCTTGCAGCCACACCTTCCTCCCTCCCTCCCTCCCCGCGTGCTCATTAACCTCCCAGCATGTGGTTTCACTTAACTGAGTTGTTAGAGAACAAACGTGAAGAGTTGATTACAGCTCCTTCTCTCCAGAACATGATATTAGAGAGGTGGTGATTACACCCCATTTAACGGACTGTGCTCACCAACCTTCGTTCATTTGGGGCTAATGAATTGCTCTGTCTCTGTGAGCTCTGAGGACGTAATGAGCCTTGGGAAAGAGACGAGAGGTGGAGAGAGAGAGAGAAGGAGAGGGTCCTTTAGAGGAGTGGAAACGGTAGATTCAGAATTGATAGATCTGTGAAATCTTCCTGGAGTGTCCTCTGTGGCCACCGAGGGAGGGACGGCTGCAGAAGCTAACTGGAACAATCGCTTCTTTGGTTTCTGGAATAGATTATTAGCAGTAGCGTTTTCTCAGCGGTGCTTTAGTTAAGACACCTGTTGTTTCCAGTTAAAGCTGAGAACGAAAATCTGCAATTTCACTTTAAGATCTTTAGCTTTTCACTCCAGGCTTTAAAATTTCTTTTCTTACATCTAACCGAGGAGGTTAACTGTGAAACGGAGACAGATCGAGTCTTGATTTTTTTTTTTTGGCCGCCGCACAAAATTAAAAGATCAAACTAAATGTCTCGCTGCAGCGTTTTTCGCTCGCATGGATGAATCCGCTCCATCTGTGTCCGCGTGTCACTGTGCCGCTCTTCCCGTCCTGACCTTGACACATTAGTTGTTTAAAGGCACACTTCACTGATTTTACACATAAAGGTCAGTTTACTCATCATGAAGAGGACTCAGCCCGTGAAGAGAGAGTCGGTAAAATGTCTCCTGTGACTCTGGAGGGGCTTTCGAAAGGAAAATAATCCTCACAAGTTCACCGGGGTTATCTTAGTTAGGACTTCAGATTCGCTGTATCTGCTGTTTTCTAACTTGTAAGCAGCGTTCATGCCAAAACTCCCAAATTATAATAGTAATAATAATCTTTATTTATAGAGCACGTGTCAAAATCTAAGTTAAAAAGTGTTTCGCGAGGCAACAACATGAAACAGACACAACACGGTGTCTAAAAGCCAATGTAGCGTTCAAAAAGGTGAGAATGTTTTAAGAAAGAATGCACTGACCCAGCTGACCTGATTTCCTCGGGCAGGTCGCTCCAGAGCCTCGGGACCCCGACTGCAATCGTCCCCTTTGGTTTTCAGCCGGACCCCTATAGTAAGGGGCAAAAGACCTCAGCCTTAAAGTACGGTACTGAAAGGTCAGAGATAAAGAAGAGAGAAAGGCCACGAAGGGCCCTAAAACTAATCAGTAAAATCCTAAAAATCCATCCTAAACACGGGGAGAGTGATCGCATCTCGCTCGATAGGTTGTCGGTTGAGGCAGGTAACAAGGCGGTTGCAGTAAATGAAATAAAAGCGTTTAAAAAAGGTCTCTGTGTCTTTAAAAGTTAACGTGGACGTATTTTTTGAAATATTTCTAACATGATAAAAACATTATCAAAAGCTTTGTAGTGTGCTGCACTGGGAAAACTTCAATATCTCTAATTTAGTGCCTAAAAAACTAATCAAAGATCTGCTTTTTTCTCACTTAAAACACAAAAATGTAAAAACTTAACTCTGTGTGCAAAATATTTAAGTCTCACTTGACCAACTTTGCAAACATGCAGCAGTCTGGAGTGAACACGTCTCTGGAAACCTCCCGTCTCTGCCGTTCACCCAATGTGACGTAAATGCAGCATATTGAAAGGTTCTACCGAGCTGCATCATGGGAAATGTAGTATCCAGTGTTTTCAGAGCTTGACCCATATTAGAGAACCTAAAGTCATAACCTAAATATCTCAGTCTCTGCTGCCTGCTTCAGTTCTTTTTTTAATCTGAGCCTAAACTGCACCTCCGCCGCCTTCTGTGAGCACAACAGGCCTCTTTCCTGCATTTGTATTTGCATATGCATGTACTGATCTGTGTGTGTGTGTGTGTGATTTCCCTTTGCAGGTTACATGACTGCAGCATTTACAACCCTGAGAGGACCATCACGGTGCACGGCACCGCGGAGGCGTGTGCTAAAGCCGAGGCGTTGATCATGAAGAAACTGAGGGAAGCCCACGAGAACGACTGCGCTGCTATGAACGTAAGGTTCAAAGGTGCAGGCCTCTCCATTGTGCTGCTTGCGGTTATGATCGCACGTTGACTCACGTCGGGCCGACAGGTGAACAACGGAGGGGTGCGATGATATACAGCAGGGTAATATCGCCTTCCCATTCAGTGCTGCGTGCTACCGCCAGCATTAGTAACAGCGGCGTGGTAAATGGATAACAGTAAACGATCGCCGAATAGCTCATCAGTGAGTCGGGGCGTTTGAGCGCAGTGTGTCTCTGTGCGTGAGCGTGTGTGTGTGTGTGTGTGTGTGTGTGTGTGTGTCTGCCTCGTTCACGGAGCCTCTGACTCACGCTCACTTCCCCGCTGTGTGTGTCTGTGTTCCCGCTGCAACACACTGCGTTTCCCAGCATCCATCTGATATCTGTAGGCCGCTCTCTCACCCGGCTCCTCTTTCACACTGGCCCGATGACATCACCAGCAGCCAGAGAGGTCAACCTCCGAGGAGGAGAGATAGTGATGATATCGCGCACGCACACTGCATATTGCATAGGAGGAACACAACAATGGGTGCAGATAGAAGTGGCTGCATTCACAGCGATGATGCCCTTCATTGTGGAACCGCTCTGACTCGTGGAAGGACGCAGAATTAGTGCTTCAGTGTTTTTTTTTTGTTGCTACTTTCGCTTTTACTTCGTTAGTTCCTCCCTCGTTTTTGCTTGACCAAATATTTGCTCGGAAACAATCATCCAGAAGTGTCACGCAGCATGCGATTAAATTGTTTCTGGCTGGTACGAGCAGTCCTGGCACCTGCCGGCCCCGGCGCTGCCTCTACAGCAAGCGGTGAGGGCCATCTAGCGTGACACTGTGGATATTACACGCAGCTTTCAAGGAACAAGGAAGTGAAAGGAGACCGCGTGTCTTGTCACGGCCATGAAACCAGAATAGCTGACTTGACTTTGAGGGAAGATTATTTTCGTCGTGCAATTACAACAGCAAAGTGCCTCGTGCAAAACCACGCACCTACAAAACATCAGCGTTTCATGAGCTAAGAAAAGCAGCACTATTTTCAGCATTGTGACAAGACGGTTTTTTTTAAGTTAGTCCAGTGGGTTTTTGTTTTTTCTTTTAAAGGTTTTTTGGGGTTAGGAAGTTGGAGAATTTTCTGAACCCACAAAAGAACACTTAGTCATTTATTCATTTGGAAAAAAATATATTAATAATATGATTTTTTCCTTTAAGTAATAGAGTAAACTGTGCTTCTGTAAAGGAGAAGTTTAATCAAACACTGAGTAACACCCATTTAAATTTCACAGAATATAATTTGACACATTTTTAAGTGCTTGTGTCGTCCAAACAAAAACCCCAAAATATTTATCAATGGCAAAGTGAAGCAGTTAAACCGAAACCAGAGGATGTTTTTTTTTTTTAATTCACAAATGAATCTGAACCCAAAATCCTGCCAGTGGGCTCGAAAATCAGAACCAGAACCCGTAAAAGCAGAAAGAATCGTTGGACTTTCACGTTTCCACGCTCCTTGAACTGTCCATCTGAGACTTACAAGAAAATAAATCAAATCCAGACCAAAAATTACGATATTTCACCAAAATCACTTTTTTTTTTCTGCCTGTCTCATTTAAAAATTTGCCATAAAATAAACTGTTTATCCAACCAAATTCTGTCGAAACCAAACAGTTCTGTGCTTCTTGCCAACCGAGAAGCCGTGAATGATTTATGTGCAGCTAAGTGTTACGTGGCAACAATTCAGAGACTATTCGGCTTAACTGCAGACTGTGTTTACACTGAGTAGATTTTTTTTTTAAGAAAGAAACTTTTCTTTCTTATTTTATGATTGATGTAAATTTGTTTTACTTCACAGAACAGACTTTCGAACTCTTCTGGTTTTGCTGAGAGGTGCAGGAGTTTATATTGCGGTGAAAAACGAGCCCACAAACACTTTTTGGGGTTCAGAGGATTGAACAGTTCCTCAGTCATCACAGCTCACCTCAGCTGTACACATTATGTTTGTCCTGACGTATTTACCACACCTTGAAGTATTAGACTAACATAATTGTTGTTTGTTTGTTTCTGAGATCTTGTTTGCTTCAGCCAAGAGCTTCTTATTATTTGATAACCATGTTAGTCATGCTCACTGCGGTGGGATTTTTTATTTTATTTTATCTGTAATCTGTGGTGGCCGGCGTCCAACTGCACCAGAATTTTATTTTTTATTTTTTGGATGCCTGGAGATTAAAAATCCACATTAAAATTTAATCTAACAAAAGTAAGCCTTGTTCAAACCATAATCTGCTATCTTCCTTTTTTTTTGATTGGACTGCCTCCCTCTCTTTTCTGCACAGCAACAGGCCAACCTGATCCCGGGCTTGAACCTGAACGCTCTGGGCATCTTCTCCTCCGGTCTGCCGGTGCTGCCCCCTGCTGCTGGACCACGTGGTGCAGTGCCTTCTGTGGCACCAACAGGATACAACCCTTTCTTAGTGAGTGCTCTCTCTCTCTCTTTTTTTTCTTTCACACGCTACCTCCGCACACAACCATAAAAGGTGTCGGGAGGAAAAGAGGTTTTCTGTTTTTTTTTAATCCTCCCTTTGCAATGACTTGGCCACCGTTGGCTTCACCATGCCCCAACCACGAGGATTAATTTTGACTTGATAAAGCAATTTGTTTCCAAGGTATGGTAAACCAGTTTCCCCAGAAGTGCTTTTTGAAAAAACAATGCACTTTTGACTCAGGACTTCCTGCATGATATTGTACACAGTTTGAAACAACCAGAATTCCCCCATCTTCTCCAGAGATGAGTCAGTTTGTCTGTAAAACAAAGTCTCCACTCACTGCCTTACGAGAACGAGCCAAGGCGGTGTGAGGCAGTGTGCGAGAATGCGTTTGCGTGCTTCAAGTCGGCGTGTGATTCATTATGAGTTTCTGCCCTGAAATTCCCCTTAATAAGAGCCGGAGCTGTGTACGTGCATGTGTCTTTATGGCGTGGTGCGTTTTTGTGTGCGTGTTTACGTGCCATCTGATCGGCCTGCTTGTCACTTCACTTTCAGAGTCACTCTTCACATCTCAGTGGCCTGTACGGGGTTCCTCCAGCGAGTACCATCCCCCACCAGCACTCAGTATGTCCCCCTCAAATCTGCACCACAGTCAGTGTTGCCTTGGTGATCAGAGATTTTCCAAGTCATTTCGTGTGTTTTGTGCTACTAGATAATTATCTTAATAGTTGAGGGCAATTCGAAACCACGTTTTTGCACCCAAGAAGCTTTGAAAAACCTCATGATGTAACCATTTTCCTCCGCTTGTGTTAAGAAGAAGAAGAAAAAAAACAGGCTCATTATGCAAGTGACATACATGGGATGTGAAGTCCGTCCATTTCCATGAATCCGGCTGCAGAGCGGATAAAGGAAGTCTAATTGAGAGGGAGATGTAAATAACGGACCATTACAATGTCTCAGTCAGTGTCTGTGTAGGACAGTGAGTCTGGCATTCCAAGCTTACCATCGCCCAGTCACCAGAACACCACAAATATTTCTGGAAGGGGATGTTTCAGCCCAGAGTTATCCAGTGGCTCGTAAAAATTCACTTTGTAAACCTCAACTACATGAGTGTTACCATGCTAAGAAAAACAAAAACATAGGGCAACCATCGGCCCTAATAGGAAATATTCCATTCAGAGCCAGCCAGAGGGCGATGTTTACCCAAAGAGAAACCCTTGATTTAGCTTTCCTTGCATGTGGTGTCGACGTTTTTGGCCGTTCTTTAAGTGTCTGACAAGTCGAATCTGAATGTAACAGTCTGAAGCACTTTTGAATGTTTAGTGAACGTGCAGTAAAATATCTTTCTCTGTGTGGTCCTTTTTTTTTTCTTTTTTTCCTTTCCAGCAACAGGCTCCAGAACAGGAGGTTGTCTACCTCTTTATTCCAACTCAGGCAGTCGGGGCCTTGATCGGGAAGAAGGGCCAGCACATCAAACAACTTGCCCACTTTGCCGGAGCTTCCATCAAGGTGGGTTTGTCAGTGTGTGGACTTCAATGAGGAGGAAGAAAGAGGCAGTCAGAGTGTTGACTCGTCGAGTGTAGACGGTGGATTTAAGTGTGCCAATGGACATTTCACGCAGCTTTCTCCTCCCTTTTTGCTGTTTTCAAAATGCCTTTCACCATGGTGAACAATAGCCTTCAAATGGCAACTAACACACTGAAAATATCTTGTTTTGCTGAGGATTTGGATCATGCAATAAGCAGCCCTGATATTTATTTTTCGATAAATTAGCCATTTTAATGAGAGCGCTGGACTCCCTGTGTGCACCAGAACAATTCCCGCGTCAGTATTTTGAAGGGACACAGTTGATGCATCCTTGGCTTGATGATGACATGCATGACACCACGATGACTTTCATCAGAGTAGACTTTGTTTACATTTTTCGTTTTTTTGATTTATTTTATTGTATTTATTTGAGGATAATAAATACCAACTCCCTACATGCGAATGTTCCACCAGAACAATTCCTGCTTCAGTATTTAGAAGGGACACAGTTGATGCATCCTTGGATTAACTGGACTGAAGACACTGGTCCTCAAAGTTTTTCTGTCAGGCCCTCCTTCGGTAGACAAAAACTTCCCCTTAGCTTAAATTTATTGAAATTAAATAAATATCATAAGCAGTCAAATTGTGAAACAACTTAACAACATGCTCCATGATCGGCAAAAATAACACTCCATAAATGTGTGTCCTTCAAAAACTGAGGAAAAAAATCAGAACAGAACTTAACACATGCATAGCAATACAGTTAAACACACACTTCAATGCAAAAATATAGAAAAATCTTGTGAAATTCTGCAAAAACTTTGCAATCAGTGCAAAAAAAATAAAAAATAGAGAAGATATTTGGCCAAAGAACACTGTTAGTAGCTGCAATGAGCCTGTTCTGCACACTTTTTTAAAACGTGGTTGCAGCCTTGATACGGCCACTCTCAAGTCATCTGTACCGACATAAAACACACACAGGGGTCTCTCCTCACCTCCCACCATGTTCACTGTGAAGCCAAGAGCGAGTTAAGCCTCGTCACATTTTCTTTACTGTTTTCTTGACGTTGTATCTTGTTTGTATCCCGTTCGCCTATTTTACTTTTTCGATCCAGTCAAATTCGTCTCCATTCTGTGCAGCTACTGACAGGTGTACTCACCGTGGGTGGAGCAGAATCAACCCAATCATTGTGGATGGTTACTTTGACAGTTTGTTTATTGTTGTGCGCCGCCATAAACTGTCCGATGTTAAAACAATAGCTCAGCACATTAGTTCCACGTAGAAGGACTTTTTCCTTCCTGTCGCTCACGTCCCTCTGTCGTGCCTCTGTGCCTCCTCAGGGGGCCGCGCCACACACTTTGAGAAACACCTAAGACGACTGTGATTGACTTAAAGAAACACAAGCTAGTCTGAGTGTTTTTTTTTCTTATATAGCAGAATGATAATGAGGTGGGGCTACAAGGTGGTTCGGTGGTTAGCACCGTTGCCTCGCAGCAAGAAGGTCGCCGGTTCGCGTCCCGGTGAGGACACCCTGGATCTTTCTGGAGTTTGCATGTTCTCCCCGTGCAGCGTGGGTTCTCTCCGGGTTCTCTGGCTTCCTCCCACACAGTCCAAAAACATGTTGAGGTTAATTGGTGATTCTAAATTGTCTGTAGGTGTGAATGTGAGTGTGCTTGGTTGTCTGTCTCTAAGTGTAGCCCTGTGATAGACTGGTGACCTGTCCAGGGTGTCCCCTGCCTTCACCCTGAGTCAGCTGGGATAGACTCCAGCCCCCCACGACCCTAGTGAGGGTTAAGCGGTGTATAGATAATGGATGGATCATGAGGTGCATTCAGACCATTGTGTACCACACTAGTATAATCCTACTTGTCTCTCTAACCCTTCTCTGTCAGATCGCCCCGGCTGAGAGCCCAGACGTCACTGAGAGGATGGTTATCATTACTGGAACCCCAGAAGCTCAATTTAAGGTACAAACACTACCTGAATGTGTGTGGAAATATGCAAGACAAATCACATTTATTTCTAAAGAAAATTAAGATGAACAATTCAAGTGAATTCCTGCGTCCTGTGTTGCAGTAAACAGCAGTGGATCACTGTGTCCCCATTGTCCCCAGTCTCTCCTTGCCTCACTCCCTCCTCTGTATTCCAGGCGCAAGGTCGGATATTTGGGAAGCTGAAAGAAGAGAACTTCTTCTCAGCGAAGGAGGAGGTCAAACTGGAGACGCACATCAAGGTTCCCTCAACTGCAGCAGGCAGGGTCATCGGCAAAGGTGGCAAGACGGTGAGCCGGCGCTTAAACTGAGCTAAATTACAGTCAAGGCTGTAAAAACTAAAAAGTGCTGTAAATTACAGAAAAGCACTTTCTCAGTACGTTTTCTGATTATTTGCTCAAACGGAGCACTTTTCATTGAGGATCTCTGTAATTTATTTTAGAAAATTTTGGCCAGATGTAACAACCAGGAAGAAAAAAAAAACAAGAACCTTAACTGTGTTTGGAAAAAACTGCCTTAACAACAATCTGTTTGCTAAAAGTAACTCAGCAAGTTTTTCAGTAAAATGAGCTACTAGTCCTATTCACACTCAGTTAAATGGGTATAAATAAGGAAGAATGCTCCTCATCTGATATCACAGGTTTTATTAAAAGCTATTTCAGTTTAGTATAATCTGTCAGTGCAGAAGGTCTGAGTGTTTTGTAAGTGATGCTGGAGCTGAAATTCAAAGCCAGATCATGACCTCGTCTGTCTGTGTTTCAGGTAAACGAGCTGCAGAACCTTACGAGCGCAGAGGTCATCGTACCGCGGGACCAAACTCCTGACGAGAATGACGAGGTCTTTGTGAAAATCAGTGGGCATTTCTTTGCCAGCCAGGTACACAAAACTAAACCCACACAGGAGCTGTCAGTCGTGTGGCTTTTTAGTTTGCTGTGGTTGAAATCTGCATACAGTCTGCAGCAAAAGAACGGCTGCACCTGTTACTAATACTGTGGTAAAAGACTCACAAAGCACACAAACCTATGTTGTGTCACATGCACAGAATATTTGTCGTGCATTTACCAGTAAAACTCATGTTTAGCTTTCTTATTTGAGCAGCTATGTTGGGTGTAATCTCCAAACCTGCTGAAATATGTTCCTTTTTGAAGCCATCTTTTTCTTATTTATCTTCCTCACATGTCTTTGCTCAGCTGCAGCATGCCTTTTTTTTTTGTTTTGTGTCAGTGCTTATCTTGGCAGCTCGGCTAAATTGTTTTCATTTATTATTACTTTCAGCTGGCGCTGTAATTTGTTTCACTTTAACCAGCTTGAGTTAAAAGTTGTCCGACAGTGGAGCCTCATAAAGAGATCTAATCGGCCAAAAACATCTGTGCAGGCGTAAACAGGGTCTAGTATTTCTAGATTAAACCGACTTTGTGTGACTACATAACTTTATATGAACAACAATTAACTGAAGTTGAAATTTAAAAAAAAAAATAGAATTTACAGTTCGGAAAAAAAACACAAGCAAGGTAAGTAATTGGTAATTAATCTGGTTAATCTGAGTAGACATCTGCTCAGGTCGGAGGTGGACTGAGTGATTTTGGGAGTTGCTACACATGATGCCACTTGACGCCATAAACTAATAGAAAACAGTGTAAAAGTGTGACAGAGATGAAGGAGATGTCAGTCGCACCAAGGCTGAACACAAATACAGACCTGAGAGGAGCTGCGAAGGTGAAAATACCTGCCTGGTGTTTGATTCATAGGCAATGCCTTTAATAAAATCACCAGCAATGACTTGTTTCAGCCATTTTAAGTTGACTAATCATCATCATTGTTGTGGAAATTCTACTGAAACAAGATTCACAAAGAGCAAGTCAACCATACATATGCATATGGGGCTCATAACTTTCCAAAACTAGAGCCAAAGGTGTGAAGACGCTCTCTGTCTTATAGGGAAGTTCATCTATCATTTTCCTCCCAGCAGAGGGAGAAAAGGTGGAGGTCAGACTCTCATCGTTTCATCTATTTGTTCCACTTTGAGGCAATCCAAGGCCTTCACACTGTTATTTCTGTCGGCCTTCAAGAGACAAAATAAGACCTCCTGTGCACTCTGAAGCCTCGGTGTCAAGCTAGTTACACAAATAAGAGCAGAAGAGAGAAAATCCTTCACGCGAGAGAGCATGTAGTTAGTATAGGAAGTATGCAAAAGAGTAATGCTCCTCGTGTGAACAGTAAAATACAGGAAGAGAAAAAAAACGTCACTGCAGGAAACAACAACGACTTCTTAGCAGCAATGTAACACAATGTAAATTTTATGTTTTGCCAAAAGTGCGGATCATGCACTAAAGTAGGCCTGCTAGGTTTTTCAGTGAATCATTCGTTTTAATGTTCCCTGCACCAGAAAGCTCCATCACAACAGTTCCCCGTCAGTGTCACTGCGTCCTGGGCTTAGCACCGCCCAGGATGGTTTCCATTTATTCACGGAAATACAAACGTTTTTTCCCCATATAGCAGAATAATACTGAGGTGCAGCCAGACCATTCTGCACAGCTGTACACTGTTAAACATATTATACTTTATATACTCTGTGTCTGTTACTGTTCTGGTTGGTGTGAGGTGGTGTCAATTTACTCCACTTATGAGCTTTTTCCTGGACTTTCAACCATACTCACATGGTCTTCATGAGCAGATGGAGTTTGCCGAGTTGTCATGGAGATGGGTCATCTCACCAGTGAGCTCCATGAAGGTGCTGAAGTCATAGCAGCTACTGGCAGACCCATCTCCATGGCGACTGAACAAACAGTGTCTGCTGCTGAAGACTGTGTTGTACAGTTTGGGTCAAATTTTCAGGTTTTAAAACTTATTTATTTATAAAGAAATATTTTTGTTTTCTTCTCTTTTGCTGGGATCTTCCTAAAATTAGTTGTAGGCCATTCATGCAAATCAGCATCTATTAAAACAGATGATGTCAGGAACGTGATACAGGAAAACAAATGGAAAGAAAAAGAGCAACACAGTCAGACCATCCCTCTTGCTGCTTTGTGAATACCTCCTTATGACAATCACTTTAATCAAGAAACATTATACATAGAGGGCTTAACTTGATCATTCTGCGCATAACATTGAATCAAAACAGTCCTTATTCTGAAGATGTTCGCATTTGCAAACATTTTGGTTGTCGAGTTATTCTTGTCATGTTAACACCTGGTCCTGCGTATGTTGTCTCTCCATCAGACTGCACAGAGAAAGATCCGGGAGATCATTCAGCAGGTCAAACAGCAGGAACAGAAGCACCAGCAGTGCGCCGCCGTGTCACCGCACCACTCCAAGTGACCAGCGAGGTGGCTCCAGTGGGCACCAGCCAATGAATGTAGCCCTCCCAAACGGACAGAGACCTACCCAGACTAAGGCCAAGGCCAAGGGGGACATGCAGGGCAGACCAGCAGCACCGGGATCAAAACCAAAGAACTTCGCTAGGGGGGAAACAAGTGAGAGCCAAAGGCTGAGGGCATTGTGTGCACTGCCAGCCCTGTGAGAGCAGATAGAGTGGGAGAAACCGTACTGATACAATAAAATAAAACATAAAAAAAGACCAAAAAAATAAATAAAAAATCAACAAGAAGGGTGGAAATGGCAGAGAATTTGGGAACTGTTGTCTTTACAGTTATAAAAAAAAAACAAAAACAGGAAATAGTATGTCGCCCTGCATAACGTTATCTCTTTAGTTGGACTAACATAGGCCTAACAAACAGATAAAGCAACTCTATTAACACGAGCGTATACGAGGCGTTGTGATTGGTATTTTGGGTTAGAACGAGAACGAGTGACAATGGACACCTTCTCTCACAAGCGTTTGAGATATTTAGATTGTGAGATTAAATATCCTTAGCAGTATTAATACAGAGTAGAGACGTATATTGATGCACACTGAGAGTACGCGCTGTTATTTTTCTATCAGAATGACAGTACAGCTCGGTGTAGTTTTGAATATTTTTTGCTTGTTCCAGAGATTGATTGGGCTGCGACAGCCACAAAAGGCGGTTTCCCTTGTTTGCTCCCATTTTAGGCCACTGAAATCAAAAAACGAACACCCCTATAAGTAAATATGATGAATGGTTCTGAGTCTTTGTAACAAGCCTGTGTGTGTGCCAACGCAAAAGATAACGTCCCTTTCAAATGTCTCTCACCATTCATACCTGATGCTACACTTTTTTTTTTATTATTATTATTGTTTCCTTCTTTTCTGCTAATTTCTGCTTCACTTTCTCATCACTCTCTCTCATCCGGCATCGTGTTTTTTTTTTTTTTAAGCGATAAAAATATTTGTTGTCATGAAACACGTTTTTTTCGTAGCCTTTTGATAACCTTAAACTGACTGCCACTTTTGCTCAAGAGAGGTTAAATGCAACTGAGGGTTTTTGTTTTTAAACCAGTAAACTGGTGTCACTCTTCCATGCTGTACAGAAGACGATGTCTATATTCATGCTTGTTGTCCTGATAGTAAAAAAAAAGAAAAAAAATCTAAGGATGTCTCTAAGACATTTTCCTCAACAATCAGAGCAAAAATCGACGTCTTAAAAAAAAAGAAAAAAATATATAAACGGTGCACCTTTGCTAGTTACAGGCGACCGATCGTTTTTTTTTTGAATGTGCACCGCCACGCGCTCGGCCTTATGAGGACGTCACCGGGGGCCAACACGAACTGTGAGCTGAGGGCCCGGAACAGTGAGGGGGATCAGGGTGAGAGGGGATCAGGGTGAGAGGGGAGGGCGGGAGGGTGCAGACTCACAGTGTGTTGGGGTGGCAGTGAAAAGATTCGGGGTTAGAGGGTTGGGGGGGTGGGCTTTCTAGGGAGGCACTGTATGACCTGTGGTACACACACAACCGCAAACGTGACCGCAGCCGCGTTTGGCTTTAACCCTCTCTTGTCAGGGAGCTTTCTAAAATGGCATGACAGCTGTGAATGTACGATATGCAGCCTTTTTAGAAAAAAAAATAAAAAATATCACCCCCCCTGCCGCGTCCAGCAGGCCAGGCCAGCGGCACACGACACACAGATTGTCATCCTCACGCTCGCTCTTTTCTTTTACTTTTATTTTTTTTATTTTTTTATTTTTATTTTGGCGAGCTGGCCGACTGCTCTGCGAGCACGCTGGACTCGCAGGTCCTGGTGTCCCTTTGTGCTTTACTTTGGAGACCATGGAAGCTTGTTGCCTTATTTTGTCACCTGTCACCCCATCAGCTTCATCTTCCAGACGCAAGGTTATTGCCAATACGCACAGCTTCCTCCGTGTGTGTATGTGTGTGTGCGTGCGTGCGTGTGTGTATATATATAAAAAGAGAGAGTAATATTTATGAATCTATTTTTTCCTATTTTGTGATGAGAGCTATTGATAAGAAACAAAAAAGAAAACAAAGTCCTTTTCTTTTTTTCCTCAGTGGGACACTGCCATATTATTTTGAAGGGAAGTGTTTATTTTCTTGAAAACTAGACTATGAATAATAATAATATAATAAATAAAAAAAAACCTGAAAAAATAGGAGAACAGTAAAGTGAACCAACGCGTTAACTTTGGTCAGGATGTGAACAGTGCGCATGTCAGTATTGTGATCTACCTCAGGCTTCAGGGTACCTCAGTCCAATCTTTCATTTCCCCTTTTTCCACATTTTGTATGCCTTGTTAACTGATCATTTTGAGCGTTTTTAATTTTCTTTTTTAATGAAAAAAAAAAGAGAAAAGATCTACAGTAATCTCTACACTCTTCAGGTCCAGCCGACTAGTGAAACTTTGTAAACCGTAGTCAACTTCTGTTGGACTGTGTTTGCCTGGACGCCATACAACCTCTTAATGATACACGTCAAAGGATTCTAAAGCCGATTTTTTTGCTAGAAAGGAATGAAGAGCAGGATCTAAGGGGTACATACCTGCCCGATGTGGTTCTGAATGTGGATGTTGTGTACTGATTTCACCATCAAAGAAAGACAGAAAGATACAAATCAGTTGATATAAACAGAAACTAACCAACTGTACCTCCTGTTTTTCCCGACTGTACCTCCAGGTTTTTTTGAGACTTTAGAAAAAAAACAAACAACAACAACAAAAAAAATATATATCACTCGTGGAAAAAAAAAAGAATTTTATAACAACCCAACCCAATCTTTACCAGCTCTATTTGATATCAGCTTACTCTGGGGTTGATTTGAAGAAAAATACAAAGCTGCAAAAATACACTGACAGGACTCTTGAACATGGTGTAAAACCCTAGTCTTCTGTGTAGAATGTAGAACAACTCTAGTCGTTGAAATGTCACTGTGTACGACAAAGATAACTGTATATCTGTAAACATGTACAATAGAGTCACACATAAATGCATCGTTTTTCTGTCTCTCTATAACACTTACCAGTCTGCACCTGCGTTGTGAGAGATGGTGGGAGAAGTTTAGAGCGTCACAGCTTCCCTCAAACTGACCTCTAAATGGTTTTCTCATCAATCTACCGATTTAGTTTTTTTTTTTTTTTTTTTGTGCTGTACATTTCAGAATTACCTCTCTGAATCCAAGGCTGACTTTAGTTACTAAAAAAAAAAAAAAAAATCAATGTAGGGCAAAGGAATTAAATAAATGAATGATATAGTGAAAGTTTAGCGTTTGTCTTTGGAGTTCTTTTAACTGTCGAGAGCTGAGTTTTACTTTTTCGGAAGGGCAGACTTTTGTCATCAGATGAGGTGGATCTTTTTTTTTTTTGTCCCAGTGAACACAGACTAGCAGTGCTAAAATAATTAAAAAAAAAACAACAACAAGGTCTATCAAACTCACACAATGCCTGAGGCGCTTTCAGCACGCCTCTTCACAGCCGGTACAGTACCTCATACTGATAATAGCTCAACAGACCTGATTCAATTACCCTGACCTTACCCATACAAATGCAGTACGGTGCTTCTAATCGAGCGCATGACTCCTGTGGTGGTCCTGCTTCACTTTAGTAGGTCACGTCTCGGAGAAAACGGCTTATCACAGTAGCACTGGAAATCGTAGTTTGTCACTTAACGGTTTGTCTGACTGTCAGGAGTAGTTTTTTTTTTTTTTTTTTTGAAGTTGAGGCTCTTTTCTTGCATTGCAGAGGACTCTACAGACCTCTGCCTCTCTTGTGTTTTTGGCTCTTTATAAGCGCAGGTTTCCCTCCAGCCGGGTCGGTTTTCACTGTGGTGCTGTGACAAGAGCATCCTGCTCGTTGAGACATCTGAGCGCCGACCGCAGTCTGAGGCGAAACCTGCAGAGATGATAGTAACCTTTTCTTTTACTTCCGAGGATTGGTGTTTCTAGGTTTTGTGGGGTGTTGCTAGGCATTAATTTTCAGTACCAGAAAAACCACAATTACACACATCACTGAGGGTGTACAGTGTTGTTAGTCATATCACACAGTGGTTGAATAGCTTAGGCTTTTATTTTGTTTTCTGTTGATCGGGTTTTCTCGTCATTTACACTGATTAAATAATGTAGTCTGGAGCATAGCTGGGATTCTTTAATATTCATTCCTGTTAGATCACTACCAATAATACTAGCTGTTAAATTGTGGTTGAAAATATCCTAGCTAGGATTTTTGAACAGATTTGGGAGTTGGAATGGAGAAAAAAAACGCAAAGTAGTTATGCCAGTTTGACAAAGTGGAAAGGGTGGACAGAGTAGCCAGGTCTGAAGATAAAAAGCTGATTAAACTTGTTCTGCCTTTGAGACTGAACAAACCAGAAGGTATTCAACACCATCCAGCAAACACGGATACGGTGATGAAGGATTTAGTTTGGTCAGGTGTATGCAGAACCACAGCAGTGTTTTTTGTCCTATCTTGTTGTTTAATGAGAAAATGCAAAGCATTGCATGAGACTGATGCAGGCGATCCAGTATGTACTACACTTCATATAGCACTAGACTTTTGAATAGTGGTTTTACATGGATCCATTTCTTAACTGCATTTCACCATTTGGGAGATTCCTTTTGTTTCCTCAGTAGGTCACAACCCTCAAGTCCTACAATTCCCACAGGCCAAAAGGTCCCAAACACCTCAAGGTAATTGGTGACTGTGTGCTGGACTGACATACGATCCATTTTTTTAAACACATCTCATGGATCCATGCCTTTCTGGTAACAGTCATGCTGTTGTTTTGAGTTGTGAGTGAACTGTATTGCTGAGCAACCTGGATCTGAGCAATAAAGATTATTTGAAAAAAAAAAAAAAAGAGCTTTTTCATGTGTTTTATTATTTCAAAGTTTTTACACCTCTGACAAAAACAAAGGCGCTGCATCATTTACATGACATACGTACAAATGTCAGCAAAAACAGCGAGTTACGGTCATAAAGGAGGAATGAAGCCACACTACTACAGATTACAGCAGCTGATTGATAAGATCGAGTCTGGTGAAGCCTCATATGACACACGTGATCGTGTCTGACTGCTCTACACATCCCTTGTGCGCGCTGGCATTCCTGCTTTACGACCGTTTTTCTACGCTGTTCCTGCTCCAGCTTGTGACCTTGCACAAGATTATCGTCTGATTAATGTGAATGGCGTTACATTTAAAAGAACTGGCCTCTCCGATGAAACCCAAACAAACAAAGAGTTCTGAAATAACACTTTATGCAGTGTAAACACTTGATGATGGGGGATACTGTCGGATAAAACATGGGCCATAAAAACAGGCAACAAAAAAGAAATCTGCAGCGATATTAAAGCTTCACACTGCCTGAAATAACTGAACACATTCACGGAATATCCAGACAAGATAAAAGTCTTGTTCCTCGAAATGACACTTGAAGATAGAATTGATTTTCCAGAGGCCAGATCTGGTCTCTACATTACACTGAATTAAAAAAAAAAAAAGAAGTTTCAGGTCAAAACTGAATAACAGTAAATACTGCTGTCCGTTTTAAAATTCAGCCTAAAATTGCGAAATGTGATTGTTGAACCAAAGTTCAAAAGCGCTGCTGCAAATATAATCAGTCCTTCAGTTACAAATAAAATTATTTATACAAAATCAAAACAATCATCTGAACCATCAGGACTCTACAAGCACGGCTGTACCTTTTACGTTTACAGGAATTTTCCCACATGTTGGAGGTAGACGTTTGAGTCAGAGAAATGCTTGACAGGCACTTTGAACAATGGCTGTTAACACAGAATCAGTTTCCCTCAAGTACAACATGAGCGCCATGTTCCCTAAAATCCTCCCTTCTCTCCGTATGATTACTGTACATTCATATTTACATACGCTGTGTATGCTGTGCTCACATGTAGTGGCGCAGAAACATGTGGTTGCACTAAATACCTTTTTTCAAATCCAGCTGTGTCAGTTAGAATATTCCTAAAAGGGGGAATCTCTTCACATCTCCAGGTGACTCTGGAAAAGAAAAACACTCCAGGCAGAAGAAACCTTTTCTGGAAAGTCACCCACAGTGGGCTAAAGGCATCCGGATGCCCATCAACAACCTCCCAGAACAAATCACTGGACTTTCTTATCCGCGATGAGTCCGTTCTGTGGCCGAGCATCCAGTTTGAGACGCTTTTGACTGAAGTGGCGGATGAGGGCGCCGGGCAGCAGCGCCATGCAGGCGATGGCCAGCAGCTGCAGGAGTCGCTCCCACGAGAACAAGTCATCCAGTGACGACACCTCAGACAGCATGACGCCTGTCTGGACACAGATGAAGTTGTACGGCAGGAGGCCTAAGAAAGCAGACGGTGGATCAAAACATGAATCATAGACATCCATCCATTTTCTATACACCGCTTGATCCTCACTAGGGTCACGGGGTGCTGTTTCAAGACCCTCAGCCTTCAGTTTTTCTCTGCATTTATAAGAGATAACTGAGCACGACCCGTAAAGTTCAAGAAAATAGAAAGAAAACAGAAAGGCAGCTGAATGAGTGTTTATTGTTACACAACAGTCGCACTCCCTCTCTGTCTGCTTTAGTCTTAGCTAGCTTCGAAAACTCATCATATTCCTTTACGTGACTAACCTTCAAATGTCTGATGAGTTTGTGGTGTTGAAATGTTTTGCTTGCTTTCCGACACGAGGGATTTCCTCGGAACGTACCTTGCAAATTGCATATTTATCAGTTTCAAACACCTGGTAGACGAGCCAGACTGGTGAAGCCGGTGAAGCTATTTTAGCTGCGTGCAGAGAAACTGTCTCGCTGATTGAATTTTATAAAGATCAAACAAACTATTTCCAATGAATATTGTCCAATAACAATCAGTGGAAGATGGATCTTTAGATATAGCACCTTGTAGGAGATACATATAAAATGTTCAGGGGAACAGTAACACAGTCATTGTAGTCGACTTTTCTGTATTTATTGGATTCATTTAAAGGTGAAGTAGATTTTTATTCAGTGCCATTATTTTGCGTAGTCAACAGGACAGACAACATGCAGTGTTGTTCTGATTTTCCTTCCTGAGCACATAAGGTGCAATTTGAGGAATGTAGAGAGTCCAGAGGTACACAATTCACTCACAAGTCACTAATTAAACAATCTGTGTGTGTGCTTACCGATGAAGACTGAGCAGAAGAAGAAGGTGATGGGGATGTTGGCGATGGGGGCGGACATATTCAGAAACCAGTTGGGAGTCATGGGAAAGAATCTCAGGAAGAGCAGAAAGAAGAACAAACAGTCCTGGTTCTCCTCCACCTATAAGAGAAACACATGAAGCGTGAGGAGGCAGACATACATAGATGTTAGCTTTTTGTGACTTTTCTTGTTTTTCACATTATAAAAACATCCAGTGATGAGCTGTGTAGCTTCTCAACAAGCAAGAACAGAACAAGAATCATCCTTTGAACATTTTACAGCTGGTAAAGAATGATGCTCTGAAATTGCATTTTGGTGAATAACACTTCAAAACCATATCTGTTGCGACCTTCAGGATAATCTTGCATATTTGTGGAGCGCCTGCAAGAAAATAAAGACGCGGCTGTTTTCAACACATTCAAATACATGTGACATTCAACTATGCTCTTGTACATTCTCATAGCTGAAAAAGAACAAGCTTCTCGTTCATTTCTTGGATGCTATAGCGACAAGTCCAACTCATATGACGGGTTGCCTGATAATGAGCGACAGTGAAGACTCGTGGCTTTCTGGAAGACTTTTTAACAAAACAGTCTGAGCTTTCTAAAAAAAAAAAATAGACGCAGCATTTTTTTCTCAGGGTAGCCACACCACGCTGTCCTCATTAGGAACAGTTAGAAAAAGTGCAATATGGACACTCAGAAAAGTATGTCTCTGCAGAAACAGGTGAATGTTGGCAGGTAAATTAGAGTTCTGCTAGTTTCCATGTTTCAGATATTTGGTTTTCTGTTTGTTTCCATGGTGGCACAGACGTACCTTTCTCTGTAGCGTGGAGACTTTATCAGGGAAGAGGTTCACGATGTAATGTTTTCCAAAGGCTTGGGACAGGAGGTAGCACATGGTAGAGCCCACAGTCGTGAGCACACAGGCAAGCAGCAGTCCTTGATATGGTCCAAATATAGCTCCGGCAAGAATGTTCTGCACAATGACAAGAGGAGACCAAAGGCCTGCGTTACCAGACATCATCACTATGTGTGTTAAGATCAGCTCTGACACACAGATCTACGGTTCCTCTACGCGTGGAAGGAGAGAAATGCTTTGTGATCTAACGGCATCGCAAATGAGGAAGAGAAATAGTGAGCAGTCAAGAGTTCAGCAAGGCTGACACATGAAGGCGAGACGTCCCACTGTCATTTGCATTGTCGGAATATTTTTACTCTCTGCGGCGCGTCTTTAAAGAGACACCAGCCACATGCAGGTTGAGGGCCTTTTTAGTCGCCCTTGATCTTGAACGCGAGGCAAATTGTCATATTTTTCTCAAACATATTTAAATATGCAAAAATGCTGTGAGTCATTCTTTTCCAGAGATATCAAGTAAATTACTTCAGTCGTGTTTTTAGACATCCGACATAAGAGACGGCCGCCTCGCTGTCATTCAGCGTGATTACAGAGAGCATTTTTGCTATTTTTTGCCTCTTACCAGGAACGAGGATCCAGGAATAGCGAAGGACTGCTTGTAGAGATATGCACTACAAAAGAGAAGGAGGACATATCCAGTGTGCTCTGTCTTGTAAAACTGCAAGAGCTCAGCCAGTTCCCGCAGCTCCTCCAAGTCTGAAGGGAACTTCAAGCTGTGAGAACATTCAGACCCAAGTTAGTCTCATCATCCACACAAAAGACATTACTGTGATTGAAATATTGAAACAATTAAGTTGACAATACAAACAATACAAAATCATTTATAAAATAGTGAGCATTTTGAGCTGGTAAATTAAAGCTTGGTGATATTTGGGGTTTAGACGTCCCTAGCTGGTTCTCTGGATTGGTAACTGGGACAATTCGGGCATATTTTTAGGGATCAGTATGAGCTGGAATAAATCTGATCAAGTGCAGATGCTTGGTTTGTTTGTTTTATTCTGTTGTTGTCAAGCGTATATTGTGTTTTGTCCAGTGTTGCCAAGCTGCTCTCCTTTCTGACTGCCACCTTTAGTGGTTGATGTAAAACAGACTTGAATTAGTGACGCACTTTTATGAGGTTTGCTTTAAATTTAAATTAGCTAAACAGATTACACACATCACCCCAGGATTCCTATTAAACACCATGTTAAACTGACCCCTTTAATACCTCACAGAATGTAAGTTAACGCTTGAGGACACAGAACTAATTTTCTTTTCAGTACTTATCTGCTGTTTATAACAATAGTTTAATTTAATTTATTCATTTAATTAATGCAACTTGGATCCAAAGCAGCACAGAAATGGGGGGATGTACTGATTGATGAAAAGTGATTGATCCATTTAGGTTTATCCTAAATCAATCAAAACACAAAACACGTGGTTTGTCCATACTGACCTGATGATCTTCACAGAAAGTCCACAAACAGAACTGATCAGCTGCCTGCAGCTCAATCAGCTGTCACAACCAGAGCACTTTTATTCTAGAGATGCCTTCACTGACATACTGAAACACTTCAGAAACATTACTGTCCACATCAGGCAGGAGTCAAGGTTCAAGGCTGTTCAGTTAATCCCAAGGCTGTTTGGAAATATGACTTTTCAAGACCCTTTAGATTTTTCAAGCTGGTTTCTGCTTATAGTGTGTGTTTATTGAATGCTAACATTAGCTTCTAGTGACACAATGGCGTACAATTTGAATATCTTAAATAGAAACGTTGACATGAAACTCTCCTGGCTAACAGCTAACGGCTAGTCACCTGCTGGGTTCCTCTGAAGTGTCAGTCTGCTCGGACTCCGTCTTCTCCACATGTTCAGTGTCGACACCCCGAGGAGGACGTCTCCGCGGTCCGGCGGGGAGGTACAGGGACAGGGAGTACAGATACAAGCTGGCCGCGGCGACGACGACGAGTAGTCCGACGAGGGAGCGCATATTCCTCCTTTTGTTTAGCCAGAACGAGGCTTCACCTCCTCCGGCTTGTTGTCAGTGAGAGCAGCGGCGAGAAGCAGCAGCGACCAACCGCCGCAGTGACGACACATCCCCGTATCAACAAACCCGCGTCGAATATTATTTTAATATATTTAGTCATTTTTTTACACATGAATGTCTGATAATCACACCTTACCTGATTATATTAAATTTAACTAGAAATTTATAAAAAAGAAAATAAATATAAATTAAGGGTTATATTGACCTCCAATCCACTAGAGGGCGGTAAGGCTCCGAGTGTCGCCATTTTGAAAACAGCACTGAGGAGCCAAGAAGACGAAGAAGATAATTTCTCCATAGAGCAAATCCTAGTTCAGCTGTGACATGTAGGGGAGGGAAAGTGTGATAAAGGTGATAAAGTCCTGCCCGTCCAGGCGATTCAAAGTTCAGTGTATCCACAGAGAAGAAGTGCGACAGGTTGCAGTCTTCGTTCAACACCATCATGGCTCAATACACTCGTGTTGCGGGGTCTGTCGGCTTGATAACGCTACAAAACCCGCCTGTTAACGCACTCAGGTGAGCAAAAATCAAAACCAAGGCTGCAGAACTTTTTTTGTACATGTTAATATCCTTCAAAACATTTTTTTCCCTATAAATTATGATTTGCATAATGCTGCTCTTTAGTGGAAGCTTTAGCTGTAGCTGCACTAGCTAACGCAAAGTTGCACAAGAAGAAGTAAACAAGTGAAAAAAGTTTAGTGCGCACTTACTTGTCTTTGTGCAGACAAGGCCAAGTGTTTTGCCATAGGGTGGTGCTAAAGGAAAGGATTTTGCTGCTATTAAATACATTATAAAGTGTAATTTTGAGGTATTTGTACTCCATTATATTATACTTCTTAGCTTACATTTTTTGGAAAGTTACTGCAGTGGGCTGACAGCTGTAGTAACCGCTTTGCAAATTAATTTATAACATCCTAAATCTGTGATGACCTTTAAAATGCGATGTTACTGGTTAACAGTTTATGTAACAGTTGGTTGCATTAAAATTAGCTGCTTCTTGCATTGCAATAATTATAAACTTTTCAATATTATGACACAGACAGCAGCCATTCTCCTACATTATTAGATTTTCATTGCTTTTAAGTACATTTTGCTGACAATACATTTGAATTTTTACTAATATTTTCAATGCAAAGCTCCACTCATCGTGCTGTACTTCTCTGTTAAGAATTTTTTTTTTTTTCCACCGTTGACCTGAATTCAACTTGTCCACTCGACATAGACATACTGATTACAGAACTGCAAATAAATAATTTACTAATGGCTGTTTGGCAGTGAGCAATGTTTTCTTTTACAGCAACACTCTATGCACACTCAGACTACCCAATACATACAACAACAGCTGGATCTGCTGCTCACTGGCAGCTCCACCAGAGCACATAGGCTCAGTGGTGATTGTGAAGAAGGAGCCTTTTTCCCAACATTTATCCCGTTTGCACTCTATTTAGGCCAGCATTGCCCTATTTTCAGAAGCGTCTTCCATATATAATGTATGTTATATTCTTAATTATGCATATCTTTTGAATTTAACTTTTTATCATGTTGCACTTTTACATGGCTGTTCATTTAAAATGAGTTTATCAGAAATGATTTGTGACATTTGAGAGTGAAACTATAGAAAACAAGCAGATGGCAGTTATTAAGTTGTATATTTAGGCTGCAGCAAAATAATGAAGTAAAATTGAGTGTACTTCAGATTCGTATCATGTTAATAGTCCATCCACCCATCCATTATCTATACACCGCTTAATCCTCACTAGGGTCCTGGGGGGCTGGAGTCTATCCCAGCTGACTCAGGGTGAAGGCAGGGGACACCCTGGACAGGTCACCAGTCTATCACAGGGCTACACTTAGAGACAGACAACCAAGCACACTCACATTCACACCTACGGACAATTTAGAATCACCAATTAACCTCAACATGTTTTTGGACTGTGTCGGAGGAAGCTGGAGAACCTGGAGAGAACCCACACTGCACAGGGAGAACATGCAAACTCCACACAGAAAGGTTCCGGTGCCCCCACCGGGACGCGAACCGGCAACCTTCTTGCTGTGAGGCAACAGTGCTAACCAACTGCGCCACCCTGCAGCCCATGTTAATAGTCATATCGCTAAATATCAGTTATGAATTTTGGAAGGAGGGCTGTAGTGGAAAGGTTGAATTGTCCCATTTGAAGTCAGACTTAACAATTTGGAGGAAATGTGCAGTTGCTATTTTTCTGACAGATATCGCTTGTTGATATTTTTTGCATCAGACGGGTTGCGTGACGTTTATCCAAAACTGCAGCCTTTGCTATTTGCACTGATTAAAACTAAAATTTCATTTCCAAATTGATTTATTGTTCGACTCTGGTTTAAACAGTAACAAAACAGCAAGTAAAAAAGTCCATTTGTTCTGCAGTGCGATGGTGAGGCAAGGCATCGTTGACACGATGGAGAGAGCCCTCAGTGCTCCAGAAGTGAAGTCTTTAGTCATCTGTGGCCAGAAGGAAACATTCTGTGGAGGTATGGACCCTTTTCTTTTTATTTCTTGTAACATTCTAAATTAAAAGAACAAAGAAACTATTTAAGGCCTTTTCTTTTATGTGTATCCACATTACAGTTAATGTAGTGGTGATTTGTGAGATGCATTTATTGCAGGAAGCAAAACAAATATAATTGCTGCAGTCACAACATTCAGAGGGAAAAATCTAACAACAAAATCAAAAGTAAATGATTACACGGTTTGACTTGTTAAATAACAAGTGCACTTGTTATTTTTTAATTGCACTTGTTAAAAAACAAGTGCAGTAAACACAGTTAATTATTAATAAGTGTGTACTACAGAAGAATATTTTAATGGGAGTCCACAGTAGGGCTGCAGCTGACAAATGTTTTCAACACTGATTAACTTGATAATCATTTTCTCAATAAATTGATTAGTTTTGGTCAATGAAACTTCTGTTTCTGAATCTGTTTTTTGATTGATCAAAATAGTCAGCAATCAGATTAGATTTTAAAACAATTCAAAGATCACACACAGGAACAAACCTTTTTGTAGGACCATGTGCCCTTCATGTCACCTTTGTCTTTCTCTTTGAGCTTCTTGATCATTTTGCCAATTTGATTTTTTGTAACAGGAGCAGACATCAGGGAGTTTGGGACAAAGATGTCTGGTCCTCCGCTGATACCGCTGATCCACGCCATCGAGGCTTCAACCAAGCCGGTGGTAGCAGCCATAGAGGGGGTCGCTTTAGGTGGAGGCCTTGAGTTGGCGCTTGGCTGTCATTATCGCATCTCACATTCTAAAGTTGGTTCATGTTTTAGAGCTCTTTGTCACTTTAAATCTGTCTGTCAGCAGTGTGACAGTTTCATCTTACATCTTACAGAATGACTATTCACTGAATCTTTTCACAAATCTTTCCTGAACAGTGTTTTCTAAGTGATTTGAAATAGAGCAAGTTCACCAGTTAGTCAGTTAGTCCAGAAGAGGAAAAAGAAAATTCATTAGTATCTGTTTTTTTTTTCCTCCAAAACAACCTTTTTCTGGAGGGATACATTCGTTGACTGTATATTCACTCATCTAATCCATGTAATAAACCATGTAGCATTTCCATTAGACAGAGGAAGCTGTATCTGTGAATGTCATTGTGGCAAACCCACACAGTTCAGCATCTTCTGTACGTCCAATTTTGTGCCTTTATGTGCTTCCAGGCCAAACTGGGGCTTCCAGAGGTGACTCTGGGTCTACTGCCAGCTGCAGCGGGATCTCAGCGACTGCCAAGGCTCATTGGGGTCCCAGCTGCCTTAGACCTCATCACCACAGGTACCAACCATAGGTTCACTCTGTCTGACTGTTACAGTGTTAATACAAGTTTTAAAGGCCTAAGCACATATGAAGAAGACACAAAACACCTTAGTCTGTTTCTCACAGTTTGTTTGTCTTTGAAATCTGATTGCATTTTAGTACAGAACATACGGATGTCCCTGCATGTCATAGTTTTAAAAATGAATTATTAACATTGCTTTGACAATGCACTGTACAGGTTGTTAAAGGATGAAAACAATCCTAGTTTGTGTGCTTAAAACTTTTTTCATTTTGCAGAGTTCTCAAAAAAGGCATTACATATCATTGAAGCTAAAAATTAATTTTGACTTTTTACTTTTGTACTTAAGTAAATTTCTGAACCTGTACTTTTTTACTTTTACTTGAGTGAAGGAGTTGAATCAGTACTTCTACTTTTACCAGAGTCTATTTTTAAGTATCTCTACTTAAGTAAAGAATGTGAGTACTTTTGCCATCTCTGGTTAATTGCACAGAATTCCCAGACACAAGAATGGAGCTGCTGTTTGCTGCTATCACCAGCAGGGGGGAGCATGTGCTAAGTTTTACCATGAATACTTCCAAAGATGCCTCTTTGGTGATTGACTACTATATCAGATTATCAGAGATATTCTGAACCAATATTTATTTAGACAAATTGTGATTCATCATACTTTTCCTTTTAAAGAATGTTTTATTATCTTTATTCTTTTTTTTATTTTGTGGTATTTTGCCTTTTATCTGATGAAGGCCACAATCAGTGTATATTGTGGCTACGTGAAAGAACTCTTAATGACAGCGCCACCTGAACTGATATTATTCATATTCTAGTAATTTCAATGCCGTATGTCATTCATATAAAGCCTGAATGACTTTCATATCTCTCGCAGGCCGCCACGTGACTGCTGCTGAGGCACTGCAACTTGGAATCGTGGATCAGGTTACTGATCACAGCACTGTGGATGCAGCTGTGAAGTTTGCCTTGAGTGTTGCAGGTGAGAGACACACACA